GGTGGGCAAAGACACTTGGTTTGTCAACCAAGAGGAGAAGCCACTGCTGCATGGACTCTTGTACAGAGGTAAAAATGTATCCTAGCTCTTTATGCCTGGCATTCGTTTCAGAAACTGTGTGCCATGATGGAAGAACAACTTTTGCAATGGATTAATGGATCGTTTGATACACACCCTTAGTCGTTTATACAGTTGAAATATTACGTTTGGCTGACTGTTCACTCCCGCCTTCGGTACTGTTGTTGCCTGAGGATTGTAGGACAGACCTAGGAGCGTTAAACAACGTAAGGTGAGAATACTTCCCCTGGCAGCCCTTACTCCTTTCACCAGCTGAAACAATAAGCTCTGTTGAAACAAAGGTGTTCTCAGGCCATAGCAGGAGTAATTGTTGCCCATTGATGCTCTCACAAATGAGAAGCAGACCTGTAGAAGTTAGAAAAAAAAACAAGAAAAACAGCCTGAACAATAATCCAATAATCTGGGACATTTCTGTACGTAGTGTGTCGTTTTGTAAGCTAAATGCATATTGAGATATGAATTTTCTATTTATATGTGGGCTTTGGTTTTTGGGGACCTGATGTACAGAAACAAATAAAGTGTAAGATACGTACTGGATCTAATGTGTGGGTCTTTTTTAGTCATTGTGTTATTTTACTGCATCTTCTTTGTGTGAAACAAGGTATGTCAGTCTTTTTTCATACATCACAGTCATATCTGCTTGTTCTACTGGAGGTAATATGTTAGATTTGTCAGTCTGTCCGTTTGTTCATAAAGGTTTGTAATCAGGAATAAAGTTATCTCCAAACTGTAAGGCAGTGGTCATAGTTTTTAGAATACATTTTCAACGCTTTTCATAATTGTTCTTTCACTTGGTTTTGTAGTAAATTTATCCCTTTTATGCTACAGTAAGATGAACTAATCTAAAAAAAAGATTTTGAGATTGGTGTTTCTCTAATATTTTGTTCATCAGAGTTAGTAATGAGACAAAATGTGAGTAAAATTAAATGCCAGCGGCATGAGTTTTATACGTAAGCTAATCAGGTAGCTAAGCACTTACTCCAAGCAAAGATCAGTTTGGTTTTGCTGTTCTGTCTGAACAAATGTAGTGTGCATTGGTGGTTCTGTTGAAAGAGTATTTAGCAGTGGGCCAGGGTTTAAACACTGAAGGAAATCCTCTGCTTTTTGTCACAGAGGCCTTGTTGGGATAGTAAACTGGATTTAGATATTCTGCTTTTTCTTGAAATTGAGTTTTATCTTTGCTCTTCCCATTAAAGAGAGGCACAAGAGACGTCTATAGATGGGTTACGAATATTAAATTTATTACAATAACAGTTTACAGTACAAGGCACATACTGATGATTTACAATCAGCTTGCAACACTTGTAACTAAACAGCCACATAAAATAATACAGGTGTATCATGTACAAGTTGAAGGGAATACTTAGTTCTGTACAGCTAAAACTCCAGTTTAATTCTCTTTGCTTAAAAGGCAAACATGGTCCTAATTTACCAGTTTCATAACTTCCTTTTCATGGTTCAGAACAGAGGGTAGGATATACTCGTCTGATAAATAAGCAGAAGGTGAGCTGAAGAGAAAAAATCGGATTGTTTGCCTCAGAACACTTCTGATTGCAGTGCAGCCCGTTTGGTGTTGATAGAACTAGTTTTTGTACAAAACCAATATTTAATGTACGGCTGCTTGTTGAGCTACCTGATAGATATTGGTGACTCCAAATGTTTTCAGATGGATGTATAAAAGGAAGAAAGAAGAATTAACAATAAAAATAAATGAAATCAATTTCTCAGTATTTCAACCAGTCAGCTAAACAGAGATACTAAAAAAAAGAATTTATCATAAAAAGATTTAGAGAACTTCAAACCAATATGCCATGTAACAAACAAAAGAACTAAACTGCCTTGCAAGTTCAGCTTTTATGGAATGAAAACATGGATATATTGTATCTTTGTATTATTCAGAAAAAGGAAAGCCTTTTTAATCCACTTCTGGAGGGCTTCCTTGCCCCTTGTTCCCATAAAGACCTCAGATGGGATTACCCTGGTGAAAAGAGAGCAAAGATCTAATATCACTAGATCTAACATCACTAATGATCTTCTGGACTGCCTATTTCTAAAAATATTTTTCCTGTGACTTTGCATGTCCATGTTGCTTTTTGTATCTTTGAGTGATTTTAAAAACTTTCACCTCTCTCAGTACATCTGTTCTCAGAGTGCATTATTCTCGTTTTTCAACTGAGAAATTCAAGAAGAGAGACCTTGCCCTGTTTTACACTGTGACTGTTGCAGGGCTTGTATTTATTAATGTCAAGGCTTCTTGGCTGACTTTCAGTCCACAAAAAACTGGTATTTCTTGGGAAGTTGCTCAGCATTCTGTGCTAAAACTGCCCAGAGAGACAGTGCCTGTTGCAGATTAGTGTCTTAAAAAATACAAATTAAAGGTGCTTCTTTCACCATTTCAGAAGTTGTTATAAAAGAATAACATCAGTAGTATTGCACTCTAAATAGCAGTGATTTTTTGCAATGATTACTTTGCAAATTATTCCATTAGAAATAATGTTCCCAGTTTCAGTTTGTTTGCAAGGGCTGAAAGAGAAACTTTGGCTTTGATGCAGATAAAGCTCATATTTGACTTAACCATTTCTTTCCCCACTTTCACTCTTCCCAATAAAAGGCAGCAGAATGTCTGTTTAAAGAGGCTTTTGCAAGTTGCATATATGGAAATGACTAAAAATTGGGGCGGTACGTTTTGGGTTGTTTTTTTAATGAGCCTGGCATGAAACAGAATCAAGTCTAGCAAGAATTTCTGTTTGTAAGATATATCTATTTAAATACTGATCTATTTAGGAGGAAAAATACTTAGCATTATTTGATCACCAGTCTGAAAAATGGAGAAGCAGGGTAGGGTTTTCTCCTTTATTTCCCACACTTGATAGTGGATACATACGAGGACCTCATTCATCTTACATTGACATTTCATATGTATTTTTTTCAATTAATAAAGTCATAACAGGTAATATTTAAAAAAAAAAAAAACCAAAACCAAAACCAACCAAACAGTAATTTTCTGGTTGGTAACTTGATAACTGAATGGCTTTCCAATACTAAAAGAATGCCCAAACTGTGCCTCTTTTCCTCAAAAGCCAGTTTTGAAAGTATTTTTCAAAGATACTTGAGGGATAATCTACAAAACTATTTCTTATGAGTGACTGTCCAGTGAGAGATTTATTATGGTTTTCTGGTGGCAGTGCAAGAACGTGTTCCCTTTTTAAAAACAGTTTAGGAGTCTTTTGATTGTAGTTCCAAAAGAACAATCGTTGTCCCTTGAAGTAATTTCCTTATTGGAAGCTGGGCTGGAGACCTGAAGTTACGGGAACTCAAGTCACTAGCTGAAGAGGCCTTCCTGCAGGAGGTGTCTGCACACTTAAGGGGAAAAACCTTGGTGGAAGCAACGAAAACCTTTTCAAAAGGCAAACACACCATCACAGCTTCCCTCTGCCGTGGCAAGTTCTGCGTACCGCTGTAAACTCTTCAGAAGGTTTCTTAGTGCCTGCTGCTATGAATGCAGGTATCACCTTGTTAATTTTAGCAGTACGTTACCTCAGTAGACCATGAGATACGAAAAAGACTGTTAGCCTCTATTTTATTTTACTTTTGTTATAATCTGTGTGGTAGAGTAAAAATGCAATGTAACATTTTACATAAATGATGACTACTTCGGTTTGTCTAAACTTCCACCTAACTGCAGCAAAACTATTGTCCTCGGACTGACTTGGCAGGTGCAGTCACTCTGCGGGGCAGTTACTTTTGGAGAGCACGTGTATGTGTGTAGTATAAAGACGTTGGTGTATGCATAGAAATTAACTTGTGTATCAGTGCCTCAGAACATAAATAGTTCTGATGAGAATCAATCCTGCTGACTTCCTGTTGAGAAGGAGTTCCTCTTCTTTCCTTCTTCAGGGTGAAAACCAAATGCATTCACATTAGAATATGAGCTAATAAATCTTCAAAGTAGGGTTCTATAGTTTGTTAAACATACTTTTGTCAGCCAGCCAGAAGGTTTATTCTAAACTTAGTTCTGTACTAGGAAAGAAGAGAAAAAGCCACAGGCTGCAGCAAATGTTAGGTGTGAAATGAAGTAAGTAAGTAAAGCAAGGCAAAGCAGAGAAGCAGATCTTTCAAGATTCTACTTTTTGGCATCGGAACTCAAAAAAATTCATTGTTGGTCTGTAGTTTCCTTGAATGTGTTAGGTCTGTCGGGACAATGTGAATATTTAGCTTAGTTATGAAAACAGCAGAGTAAGCAGTAGCAACTTAGGTACTTCGGAAGTAACCAGTGATGAGGTTTTGTGGCTTGATTGGGTCTAAAGGAAAGTGAAGCCTACAACATCACAAAAAAATGCTTTTGTAATATTTGTTATGCAAGGAACAATTAATAGAAACTGTTACCATCTACAAAATGCAGGAAATGAAAAGGAGGAAAATGCCACCAAACGTGTACTAACATATGCAGAGCTGTATATAGTGCTGCTCAGGATTGTTTCCTCTTCCTCTGTCAACTCCACTGCCTAGGGATTGAGGAATTTATTAATTTTTTTTCTAGTTTATAAAACCCTGTGTTACTTGAGTAATATATGGCTATCAGAAATATTTTGGTATTTTTCAATGTAGTTTAAGCAATTCATAGAAGCGAATACGACATTGCCCAGTACGAATGATCACATTGAGGAAGATACAGGAGTACTGCCACAGACCTGGGATTCTACACCTAATCCTACCCGCTGGCACTCGTCCTATAGCGGCTTCTGCAGTCACGCACACTTCCACACAGCCCCAGTGCCCACGCACGGGGTAGTGGTATCTCATGCACACAGACACCCTCGTGTTTCCAGAGTGAATTGGTTCTCAGTCAGTTCAGTCTGGTTGTAAGTGCACAGTAGATTTCATTGAATTGCTTGGATAAATGTGCTGGAGGCGGCATGTTTCCAAATGCCTGTTGTCAGTGACGCAGCCTCCGCAGAAAACTCCTCCGTTTGTTGTCTCAGCTGGAAATGTAATTCTTTGGGGGGGGAGACTCTGAGGAAAGTTACTTTTTTATGCTCCCCCTCTTTCCCCTCAGAAAACAGGTTTGCTTATACTGCATTCATGCGGATGTCTCCAAAAGGAATTTCTGTAGCTGTTTCTGGAGTAATGCTTTTCAGAATACGCTGTTGGAAAGAAATCAGTATTAGAAATGGATTCATTTTAGAGATAATATAAAACATGACAGCCGTTTGGAAAGAAGTTTATAATAAAAATATGACTGGTTTGAGTTATACCTCTTGAACCACACAAGGATGTTTCAGTCTTCCGTTACCTCTATGAAGACGTAAGGTGCTATGGAAGTACACGGTGTTATTTTTTAATTATTTGTAACTTAGAATTTGAATCAGTTTGACAGACATCGTATTAATGCTCTATGACTTTGCAGTTTACTTGGATACCCTGAGCCAACTGAACATAGCCTTTCTGAACTGGTATTTACATGAACTTACAAGAAATCCCCAAAACGTCATCACAGGCTGCCACAGATTTATGGCAGAGAAATCTTAATAAGTGTGGGAGAGAAAAAAAACCCTTGTTCTTACAGATGTACCCAAGGGAACCAATCTTTCACTGCTGCATTCACATGGTACTGTGTCTTGTGTGGTATCTAGGAAAAGCCTTCAGTTCACCAGAGCTTAAAAAAGGCAACACTTGATTTACTATTTTATATGCATATGTCAACAGCCTCAGTAAGACCTGGGGAGGTTTGTGAGTCACTTGCTCAGAATGGGCAGAAGACAATTAGCTATGGCTAGAAATAGAACAGCAACAGTAACAGTCCCAGGGCATCAGACCCCAGAAAAATCTACACGTAATGTTTCCAGGAATCACCTCCTTCCTAATAGTCAAATGGAAGCAACAGAGCATGGTGGTTACCTCCTTAAGTGTTCCTGGAGTGATGATCAACCGATAAACCATGTAGATTGGAATACAGATGACAGAAGAGGTTCCTATGCAGTAACCCACTACTGTGGTCCAGTAGGGATAATTATAATCAAAAAGCCGTAGTTCAGGAGGATTGGACAGAAAGCTGCAAGTGACGAACTGAAAAAGAAGAGGAAAGCATGAATGAAGTATTTTGATGGCACACGCTTACTTTAGGGAACTCTGTGTCCCAGCATAGCATTGAACTAAGAAAAAATGAGTAGGGTTCAAGGAGATTTAAACATGTTGACAGTGAAGAAATTCTAAATGACATTAGTATGGATTTTTAAAAACAAAACCAAAAAACTCACAAAACCACTTTTGGAGATCCAGATTTTCCTTCAGGAAGTTTAAAACAGCTCAGGAGCTTTAGAATATAGCCCAACCAGTAACCAACTGAAAGGACCTCGGTAAAAATTCTCATATGGATTGCTTATTCCATGAATACACATGATAGTGTTTCTTGCGTAAGAAGCATTAAAGAGAAAATTCAGGCCCACGCTTGTACATTTGAAGGATAAAAAGATGTTAGATGGACAAAATCAGATTGATTGATTCCAGTGCACAGAATTTCATCCAGTTACCCTGGTGTTGAGCCCTATAACTTGATTCCAGCTAAAGCATCCCTTCCAGAAGGGCATCATCTTGCTTTTAAGCCACCAGAAATGGGAAGTGCACGGTTTCCCTTAGCTACTTGTCTCGTATTTAATCATGATCAGTGTCAGTTCTGCGTTGTCCGAGTTTAACTCTCAGCCACTCTGTTATTTTTTTATGCTGTTCTTTATTGGGTTGTAGACCCGTTTAATACTCTTTCAATTACTGTGAAAGTACTGACCTGTGGAGATCACATCAGCTTTCAGTTTTCTCTGTGATAAGCTATACGGATTCCATTTTTTTTACTGTTGCTTGTTTTCTACAAGGTTTGTCTTTTCTGTGACATTTCTCCATAGCATTTCAGTTCTTCAGTAGCTTTTATGAATGTTAATACTAGTTTGGATATAGCATTCTGGTGTCAGCTCAATGCTGTTAGATCATTTTCCTCTGAATATCCTTCATAATTGAAAAACTTCTTGTGAAACAACAAATACTTTTAGTTGAATATTACAGGAATAATATTTGTGACTATCCTTGGAATGATCTCTGACTCTGTTTTTTCCGGAGTATCGTCAGAAGATCAGGATTACCAGCAAAATTTCCATACAGAAAAAACATACCACCTTCTGGGCTTTCCTTATTTTAGTTTACTTTCCACAGAGAACACAAATAGCTCTGCCTAGTAACCACATCACCAGAGCTGTATTCCTCTCTCTTTATTTTACTGTTTGAGGATCACAAAGAGGACAGTAGTATAAAAATTATTTGTGGTGTCACACTAACAGCTTTTTTTACCCTTTTTCTAAGGGTAATAAAATGAAATCTGTTAATTGTGCATTGATCATTACAAGTGTTTTGAATTCATGCGTGCTGTAGGTCATAAATCTACATTCTGTGCCTCATAAACTCAATCTTGACCTGCTCTGCTCCCACTAAGGCTCCTAACAATAAAAGACAGTGTGAACTAATTTTGGATCAGGAAATGAACACTTTATGTTAAAATGTTATCAATAATACTGCCAAGTCAAACATTAGGACAATATTTCCAATTCTGAATTATAGATTTGTAAAGGGTGCAATTAACTGCTGTAAATTTTAAGTGGTATATTCTGAAGTTGTCAGTCAGCGGTTGCTGGGACAGTGTATTTACTTATCTTGGTTTTCCTCCCCAGACAGTATGTTTCATCATCATCTTTTATTGCTTCATTTTTCTGAGTAAATATAAAGCAGCAAAACAAAGTAACTTTGTTGAGCAGAGGGAAGGAGGGGAGTTATTCAGAACCCAGTCTTATTTATCCTGCTCATCTACAAAAATCCTTCAAATAGTGATTGAGTAACAAGATCTTGCAGCTTTGTATTGGATTTTTCAGTAATTGAGCCTTTTTGGTTTAGTGAGAATTGTTACTAAAGAACTTCACAAGAAAAATCTGTAATTAAGTTTTTAGAAGTCTTAAGTAACTGCATTGTTCGATAGTAATTTTCTTGTGCTGGAAAGAAAAAGCTATAAAGAAAAACTCACCAGAAGGAAGATGGGACTAATTGCTACCCAGCAAACTCGCCAGTACCAGCCTGGGGTGAAGCCTAGCATTTCTTTCACATCCTTGCAAAACTGGGTGATGCCTGTGGAGACAGGTGGGAGGAGAGTGGTGACAGCAGATATAAATTTTTCGTGAGTAGATGCACAGCATTTTGTATGCACAGCAAATACATTCAGAATCCATCATGAAAGACTGGGGTTTTTTTATAACTCCTAATGATACTAAATTCTTAATTATTCTGAATTATAGCTCTCGTTACTTTTAGATGTCACTGTATTTCTGTTGGAGAACAATCTCACAGATTTCGTAATCAGTGAGTTAGTAAAAAGGTTTGGTAAACTTTTTTGTGGAGATGTCAGCGATCTTGTCTGCAGAAGCAGAGGAAATGCTACGCTGCAGAAGCTCAGGAATTTGGGTTAGTGTTGTTTGTCAGTGTGGCAGTGGACGTACCGTAGAACCAGGCCACAGCAACCGCTTCCAGAAGGACGACTGTTAGGACAGCTGGACCAGTGGCGTATTCTTCAAACAGCTTTACCACGTATGCTCCTCCCTAGAAAGGAGATTGTATGATCAGTGGACCAAAGATCCAGTGACAGGAATCCTGTAATACTGTTGTTTGTTATTGCCTTCATCTGGAGCAGAGCATTCACAGATGGGTAATTCAGTTCTGTCGCTTTGTGACAGTTCCTGCCATGAAATCCTTGAGCGTGCTGCTGATCTGCTCTCTGGTGCCACTCAGAAAAGCTAAAGCTGAATCTGCTGGTGGTTCTAGGTGGATTTTAATGAACAAGTGAGATTTGGTGGGGTTTGATGGGATGGCTTTTTGAATGCCTTCTGTGATGGCATCTTCTTTCTTCAACCTGAGTCGTAGTTACTGAGTAGGAAACAAATAGGGAGTTACTTTGCTTTCTTTCTGTTTGGGATCTAGAATCAGATGAAGGAGGAGAGCATTGTGTTTCAGAGAGAAACTAAGTCTCCTTTTACAGCAAATGCTTTAAATGAGAAGGAAGTTGCACATAAATGAGGAAGTGGAGTAAAATGTGACAGGAAAGCCAAGTATTTTTTCCTTGTCCCTTACGATCATTACACTCATTATTAAAAATGTTGTGTGTTGTGAAAAATCCCACAAGCCCCATAGGGACTATTTGGTGTGACTGATCCTGATTTCTGACCCGATTTGATGAGGAAGATCCAGGAAATTCATTGCTAGAAATTTTTGGAGAAGAGCAACAGTCAATTGCAGCATTTTCTAGCAAATAATTTTTGATCATTCTTTTTTTTTTTTTTTAATTCAAAACACATTTCAAACATTGGGAAAATTAAAATATTCATATTATTTTTAAACATGGAGCTTCTGAGAACAAGTAAACCACGTACAAAATGTAGAAGGTTGTCTGCTTACTGATTCAGCAGTTGGAGCAGCAGCCACATCATTGATGATGTGTAGCACGTTAGAGTTTTGCTGAATTGCAATAGGATCATTTTGCAACACAGTTCCTAGTGAGAGATACTGTTCACATTAATTCCAAATATAGATTTCTAATCCATAGAGAACAGGCTGGAGATTTAATCCAATTTCTTGAAACTCTCTTGAAAAAATACTACCCTCTCCACCACATCATTTGCAGGAAAGTGCTAGTAAGGAAAGCAGAGGAGTGGGTAAAATACTTACGAATGTCAGGGTTGCTAATGACCCCAAAAAGCAAACGATGGTCAGACCAAGGACAAACAATTCCCTGCGTTTGCTCCAGACATGTGGGAATTCATCCAGTACTGCAGTAATCACTCCCTCAAGTCCTGCAAACTGAAAAGCATGGAAAAATCACTGGAAAATAGAGGGCAGTTTTACTTGCTTTAAAGTGTGTTTCAGTGCTTAAAGGAGCTTTAAAGCATTGAAACACTCGCGCTTTATTCTGCCTGTAGAGTTGGTGTGACTGTTGTTTAGACAGTCTTTCTTCAGAGCTTTTAACATTTTTTAAGGTGAGGATTTAGTCTCCAGGTATGTGCAGGAAGTGCCTGTCATCCAGAGGAAGTACCATATTACAAGTAATAGGATGGTGATAAGTGGCTCAGTGGAACCAAGATTGTGAAATCAGCTGAGTTTAGCCTTCCTGGAAGGAGCTGATGCTCAATTTGTAGAAACAGGCTTATGTGGCAAGTTTTTAGAACATCTCCTTTTCACAGTGCTGTTGAGAAGGCCAGCTCCAGTTCCCACCGTTTAAATAAGATTAGTGTGAAAAAAATAATAACTGCTTTGTAAGCTTACAAGTGCAAAAGGGAAGGAGCCTGGAAGGTGTTTATGAATCAAGTGCTTTGTTGTATTTCCAGGTCTGTTACTAATTGTCACGGTATGACACAGACAATTCATTTCATTTCCTTTCCTTTAGGTCAAAATTGGAGTAATAGTTGCTGTCTTACAGAAGGCACACGAGATGCCAATCCTGCTTTAAATCCTTTAGTGACAGTGCAACATCTGTAATTGTGTTTCTTCTGATGTTTGCAGGGGTAAGGCCATACACCAAATATCTGAGAGGTCTGCTGTCTCGCATACTGTCTACTCACCGTGCTGTCTAATCCCAGCGTGAGTAACATCAGGAAAAAGATGATGGCAAAGAAAGTGGAAGCAGGCATGTTTGCAATGGCCTCAGCATACGTAATGAAGAGAAGGCTGGGTCCTGGTATTGGAATGGAGAATTAGGGGTAGTTGTTAGTGCAGTGCTGCTGCGAGGAGGACAGGCTGTTTCACTGTACCATGTTGTCTTCCAGGGGAAGACTTCTCCTCCCACACTATTTTACAGTGCACAGTTACCACCACATCTGCAAAGCTGCATGCAATATGACTTCTATATACAGTCTTTATAGAATAATTTTTTAGCTGCACTGTGTATTTATAACAGTGCTCTTGTCATAAAGTCAGTGTCCCGAATTATATACTCAATATTTTGCATAATTTGGGCTGTTCTCAATCTAGCAGATAATATACAAATATATTCTAGTTTAGAAGCAGTTTGAGAGATGTGTACAAAAAGTTAGCCTACCAGTGTCTTTGGCAACTTCTGATACGTCTTCGTTCCTCATCTCAGCCATGTATCCCAGCACAGTGAAAATGACGAACCCAGACACAAAACTAGTCACACAGTTCACGGTACTGGTAACCAGAGCATCTCTGCAACAGAAGACCTAACTCATATCAGGGAATCAGCATCTGCTAGAAAGGATAGGTTACTACCAGATGGACTAAGGTACTGATCTGGATAGACTCCTACAAAAAACAGAGTAATACAATGAAAAAAACAAGCAGCCAATTTGAAAGAAAGAAAAAAAAAAACATGACTACTTTTTCTTCTTCAGCTTCAAACAGATGCTGTAACATTAGCCTGACACTGGATTGAATGCTGCGTGTATACTGGTGTTTTAAAAAAACAGGAATTACTATAGGAATAGCAAAGAATTGAGGATTTTATTTTACAAGTTATAAATAGAACTTTTTAAGATAACAAGGAAACAACTATAAATTGACTTTCAGCTCAAGACTCTAAAATATTCCTAACTGATTGATGAGATTAAATAATTATAATGTGATTGTTTGGCAGGGGTTTAGTGCATTTTGTGGTGGCAGGTTTCTACATCTTAGACTCCTTCCTGTAATTGATAGAAATAATCTCTCTTTAAGGTAGGCACAACAGAGAAGAAATGTTTTAGATTGCAGGTTCTTTCCATAAGGACTTATGTTCTGTTACGCTTCTGTCTGATTTGTACGGACGTATGTCTGACAATTCAGTGCCTTTCACCAGCACTCTGTTTCTTTTTTTAAATACCCATGGTTACTTTTAAACTCAATTTTAGGTATAGAATAAGGTAGAACTCACTGGTAGCAGTTGTTATGGAATTTGTTGTAGCTGGCATAAGCCAATAGGACTCCAAAACCTGGACCAAGGGAGAAAAAAATCTGTGCTGCTGCATCCACCCAAACCTGAAAAATATTGAAGAAGAAAAAATTACATGAAACAGATTGAATGAGTTTGGCATATTCAGAATAACACGCAGCCCTACAAAACCATGTTTCCCTAGTCTGCCTATATTCTAGTCCTGGACTAACAAACATTTTATTAAGAGAGCCGTTGAAGTATGAATATTTACTGTAGATCTGTGAGAGTTGTAAATATCCACTATAATTTTAGTGCCTATGCTGTGCTTATTGTATCTCTTTACACTATGGTAAGTACTCACTGGCAGTTTCACTTCTGACAGCGTCTTAGATTAATTCATAGTGATTTGCCTTTAATCAGTTTAACACAAGTTTTGCAATGTATAGAAATCATCTCTCCATGATTTTGCAGTAGACTTGGCCCATCCTCTCCCAGACTCTATGTGCTGTGGAATAGTCCCATGTTTGGCTGTGTGTCCTCCAGGCTAAGTAGTAGATGATAGCAGCCCAGATTTTTCGTAGACTTATGGAAATAGAGTGTGGATGCAGTTCTAGCCCTTAGGACTCAATTCAGCCTTGTTGTAGCCATGACAGATGCAAGTGTGATGATCTTGTTATGAGAAGCCTGTTGTACTTGAAAAGTGGCCACAGCCTTAATGAGTAGTGTTCCTAAAGTACGATATCAGTTCTTCTGAAGGTGAAAGTCCTCATTCATTTATCCTCTTTCAATTGAAACATGGAGTTCATTACACCTCATTTCTAATATTCTCTTCCCTCGTGTGAGGCCATCCCGTATCATCCACAGACAGAGCTCTGTCATCGTCCAGCACGCAGATTGCAATCTGCTGTCCTCACTTCAGATACATCCAATACAATATCAATGCCCTTTATTGCTTTTTCAGAAGATGTGGTCCCTTATTGGAGATGCTGCTTTATCAGAGACTGGTGTCTTTTCATTTCCTCTTCATTCAAAACTCTCCATATCAGCTGGGCAACAGCAGACTTGCAAACAGTAGAATTTTTAATCTTTGTATTTGTAGTATTTATTGCCTTGGGGTTTTTCCATCACTCTCCTCACTAGACACTTTCACAGGCAGTAAAGTAAGTGCAGCCTTGAACCTGGTGGACTGCTTGTCATCCAGAGTTCAAAGCTGAATCAGGTACTGGAACGCTTGGCGTTTGTTGGTTAGCTCAGTTTTATCCTTATTCCTCCTTTCTCGTCAAATCTTGGTGGTGTATGCAGCCCTAACTGATCTGTTCCTTCTCTACATGCATCTGCATGCATTACTCAGTCATATTTTAGCTGGCAGCCACAGATACTCTGCTTGGGCTCATCTGCCAAAGCTTGTCACAGATGAAGATCTGAAGTTTCATCTCCAGTAACCTGCACTAGTTAAATACAGCCAACTGTGGACACCCTTGGCTTGTGGAAAAGTCTGCCCAAGTTTGTGATGATGCCCTCACAGACAAAAAAACTGCAGCTAAACCAGTTGTTAGGGCTTAGTAAATTTAGTTTGCTCAGTGTGACTGTTGTGGGTAAAGGATTTTGTTGCAGTGTAGCAGCAATCATAGCTTCTCGCTCAGTGTCAGGCTGTTCACCATTTTCCTGGCTAAAATTGTTTGGTCTCTTGTTTTCTTTCAAATCAATATCACTAATTCTATTAAACCACTGTATGGGAACCCTACTATTAATTCAAGCTAAACAGATTTAATCTTAAAAAAAAAAATCTTTAAAATAATGGAAAGAATAGCATGACTGTTTAAAGAAGAACATGAAGTCATGCTTTTAAGTCCATGCTAAGACATCTGTTTGATCACTCTCTGTGCTGAAAATAGACATTGAAGTATATACATGAGGATAGGCTAAGAGTGAATCTTTGCCCTTTTATGATGTTTTTTTACCTCAGTGGCCAGGAGTTTCTGCCAGTCAGGTTTCAAGTAGTAGAGGACACCTCTCCAGGCTCCAGGCAACGTTGCACCTCTCACTAGCAGGATAAAGAGTATGATGTAAGGGAATGTGGCAGTCACCCATACCACCTGTGAGGGAAAACAGTAGGATTGTGTTTGCCATGGGTAGAAAGTTAACAGGTGATACTGAGTTAAATGAATAATAACTCTTAGCATTTATAACATCTTCATGTGAACTTCTCAGAAGGTCTGTAAACAGGCAGCTTGCACATCGATACCCACACTTTCTCTTGGCAGGGTTGTCCTTGTCCAGAGGACAGTGTCACAACTTACTGTTGTTAGATGTTACCTGGATAACAGTAGCCGTCACTGCAGTAAGTGCTTCCCAAATACATGAGCCTATAATCCCGGTCATTGAGACAGTCTGAGATAATTCTGTGGTCAAGTTAATTAGCAACTTTAGAACTGCTGCTAGACTATGCTGTACCAAGTCATTTGTCTTGCTTTTGTATTCACCTTGCCAGATGTTTTGACCCCTTTCCAGATGCTGAAGTATACAATGGTGAAGATTAACAATAAACAGAGGGTCAGTTGCCAGCTAATGCCCCCCAGGTCATCCAGCCCGTTGGACCTGTGCACCTGTAGAACTTGGCGGCTGAAAGAGGAAAGAAAAACACAGTATAGATTTTTTTTTTAACAAATGTTTATGTTAAGTATGCTTTGAACAGTCCCATACTGTGGTCTGAGCGTTACAGGTATTCTTGAGGCCTTGATAAGTAGCCTTCAGTCATGTCATTTGGGATTTTTTTTTTTAATTAAAAGTTTTATATTAATAGTACACCAGTGATGATAAGTGATAACAGCTGACAACGGTTGGGAACCTCTAATCTAAAATATAGAGCACCCTCCCGTACACCCAAAGCTTGCATACACCTACAAGTATTCAGTTATTTGAACAGTTCAGAAAAGGGTACTATTAATAAACAGCCCTGCTGCCCCTCCAAATAAAATCTTACTACATGTTCCACAGTTCTGTCTAATATTACTGTCCTCACTTACATGCACTTACGTATAAAATTCTTCCGCGGGCGAAATGGAGTGCAGGGTCCAGCTGATGTTGTCCTTGCTGAAGTAGTTGGTGCAGTTGCCTGTGTTCCAGGCGTTTGTGCAGCTCGTCCATGGCAGCTCCGCCGTGAAGGAGGAGACGAGGTAGTAAAAGGCCCAAGCCATGATGGTGTTGTAGTAGGAGGCTACGTAAAGATCTATTATACAGATGGCAAAGCCAATTCCTAGCGAGGCAGGAAATAATTACATGAAGTGCGTGTTAAGTTTTAGGCCAAAAGAAAAGGAAGGAATTTATCACACCAACTACAATTAGTAACTGTCTAAGGCAGCTCTGCAGGGGGTACACGTACCCTCTCAAGTGTTTACAACACTGGAATTTCTTGTGGCTTCAGAAACACCCAGGCTCCAGTTCCAGAAAAGCATCCTTAAGACAGAACATGCTTATACAGTTTTTTTTCATCTGTTTCTAAATTCCTGGAATTTAGAAAGAGGCATCTTGCACTCTCAGTAAATAAAAAAGACAAGACCAGAACTGTAGCACTGGGAGCAGGATTGACAGGCTGAAGATAGGGACTCATTTCTTTGTAACATCTTTGCAATAGGAATTTTGGGTTAAATTTTGCCTTGGATTCAGTAATGTACTGACTTTATTAAGAACATATTTGGTTTATTTTTTTGATATTTTCAGGCTTGTGTCAGAGGAAGTGGACTGGCCTCTATCTAATCAATTTGAGAGCTGCACGTCATACACGTATAGGAGAGTACACACACACCTCTGCAAATGTACATGAAGCTTTATGAAAGCTTTCTTTGTAAAGCCAAAATCTTTTGTAGAACAAGCCTGACTTTTTTTTTATGACATTTTCAGATTTTTTTTCCAGAAATTTCACCTTTATAGGAAAATATTGCAGTTATTCAGCAAGTTCCTAGTCATTTTCCATTTCCCTTCTTTACCTTTGAATATAGGACATATTTTTCTCCAAATTGAAATACACCCATTCCTGTGGTACTGTCCTAGTGCTAGTTCCATGTAGAAGAGAGGAATCCCTCCAAAGATGGCCATAATTGTGTAAGGAATGAGGAATGCTCCTGCAAGAAGGAAAGCAGATGATTATAACTCTTCATAGGATTTCTCTTCCAACAGTACCAACACTCCATAAACAACAGTTCCTTTTATCCCACAGGGAAAATGCATATCCCCTCCCCAGCCAGTGTGCCACACTGAATTACCATGAGATTTCTCTAAGAGTAACTACTCAGCAGTGTGAATAAGAAGCAACACTCAGGCTGAACTTCTCACGTTTCTGTAACAGATAAAATAACTAATTTCTTCAATAAAATGCCTTTGTTACATATGGGAGACAAAAGTCTCTTCCAAGATCTCCTTGATTAGATTTATATTTTGGCTGAAATGTCAGTGAATCTAAGACCTAGCATTCCTGATGAATGTTTTGACATGTTGGTTTATCTGATTTTAAATACTTTGCGGAACAGGGATTGAGCCTCGCCTCTTGGAAGGTGGTTCTGCGCTTAACCGGCTCTCAGCTTCTAGTTGTACCGATTTTTTAGATCTCACTAATTAGTTTTTCTTCTGTCTTAATGTGTCTAGTTATACTGTCTCAGTATTCAGGTTTTCCAGTCTGCTTGAAAAGTAAGTAATTTCTTCTTAGTCATTTGTTATATTTGATATTAAAATAAGCCACTAAACTCATCCATTTATAAGCAAGGAGGTGCAGTATTAAGGAACAGCATACAGAACTAGTCACTGACCTCCTCCGTTCTGATAGCATATATAAGGAAATCTCCACACGTTTCCCAGATCCACTGCATATCCAATGACAGAGAGTAGAAAGTCAATTTTTTTACTCCACGTCTCTCTATCTTCCAGCTCCATCAGCTGCTGCTGGCCTTCTGCTCCGCAGGTGGTAGAAGTGGTGGTTGTAGTGGTGGTTGTGGCTGCAGGGGCAGTGCACTGGGCATCTTCCACCTCTCCCATTCCATTGCAGGGAACAGAGCTCGGAACTCCTGAATAACCATTTGAAATCTGAGCTGCCTCCCCTTTATCTCCCTGGCTGGGATGGACTTTATTGCCATCCTCCACTAGCCGTAGGGCAGATTTAGGGTTCCTGACCAAAAGTCCATTCTCTTTACAATCTTCTCCTTCATTACAGTTTGAGACATCTTTCTTGGAAGTCAACGGCTCAGTCTCATTGCTTGTTGCCTTTTTTTCCATTTTTTCCAAGATTTGTTCTGATCACTTGCAGATGAGCAGCAGCACAGTCTCTTTGTGAGTTGTCTTCCCACGCTTTTATTCCCAGCGTATTACCAGCACTTTTAGAATTCCTCTTCCATGTTTAAATCCATCAGATTGAAGGCACAAACACCATCTAAGAAACAAAAAACAGTAAAAAATCCGTTGCAGGGCTTACTGGTGCTGGTAAATTTCAAGTTACAACTGACAGATTGTGTGATTAAAATACTTTTGGAAGTAATTAACCATCACAGCATGCAATGTGAATCACTTAGCAGATAACCCATTCAGGATTTTGTGCAGAGAAAGGAAGGAAGCAGTCATCCTCTTCTACAGCAGAAGTCGGTGTACCTGGTTTATAACCTCTCGGGCAGATTTGCTGGACTTTGTGCATTGTTGAACAGCTCACAGGCAGTCACAGTCCTGCTGTCTTTTGGTACCATGTTCTCCCTCTGAACACTGGTTTCACACCCAGGGAGGTTGTGGGACTCCCAGTTTGCAAAAATGAGAGCAGAGTTCAGCGTGACTTGTATTTTCATTTTCATAAGTTCATCCTGTGACTCCTACTGGCAATTTCTAGATTCACCCGGTATGAAGGGAAAAGAATTAATTAAGAACTATAGGATAACAATGGATATACAAATTACATTTCACGACCACCTTTCTTCAGAAATCCCACAGTGTCTGCTATGTCTAGCAGCAGACCTAGAAGGCTTAAATGAAAGTTTAGAAAAGATTTTAAATCTCAGTAGTTTTGCATTGACCAACTTTTGAGGCTCAGTCAACACTAATAACAAGGAAAAAAGATCAGGAAACTTCAGTTTGATTGTTTTGAATCAGTAAGAACTAACATGTGGATCTAAAGGGCAAAACTTGCCCCCTTGGAGAAATAAAGGCATCTTTTGTTCTGTTTGGATCTGCTACCTCTGTGGTTCCAGCCCCGGGAAGGGTAGTGGGCACTACTCCTGTGCTACTGTCCACCACCAGCAAAAAAACAGGTACTGGGAGAATCCTGGGGTTTACCTGCCCTCTTCATATGTGCTAGAAGAGTAACCCAGGGGAAATAAACCATTGAGAAATGAAAAAAAAGTATAAAGCAATTAACTTTTCCTTCAGAACAAAAAGAACAGAAAAATAATTGTGATTCAGTGGGTCATGTTTTGTTTTTTGCTTGTTTGTTCAGGTACCGTAAATGCCCCGCTGCCTTTACTCAACAAAATCTTGAAACAGGAGCTGATCATCGCTGCTGTAAATTCCCTGGGGTAGTAACCTTGCTTTACAGCTAGTAAAGTGTTATGCATCTACGCAACGCCACCACAGATTAGATTATTATAATTACATCTAATTTTTCCTTTTCAAAGCATTTTACCACAGTAAATATCATTGTCACATCCTAGCAGAAAAATAAGCATTATTTCACTTTTAACTGTTGGAAAAACTAAAGCAGAGTGGGGATATTATTTGCTCATTGCTAGAATTTGCACATTGCCAGAGCTATTAAAACTGAAGTTTTTCTCAGTTTTCAGCCTTGTGCAAAGACTGTTAAACCTCTTCCTAAACATTTATCAGTGCAAGCAGAAAGAAGGAAAATTACTGAGCTGCAGAGCAAACATGTTCTCGAGATAAAAGTCTCTAGAAAGTGTTGTTTATAACTTTCAGAAATCTCTAGTTCTGGAGGCTTATATTCTGTCTTTACCCAGATAATGTTCTTTTCATCATATAGCAAGCAGCGCATCATTAATGCTGAATTCTTACAAGAGCAGTACTTCGCTACCATTAGTTAACAATCCACAAAGACCGAAAGATCTTCAGAGTTCCAGAGAAAAATACTATGGCAAAGAACTGTAGTTTCTGTTTTACCTGCAAGACTATAAAAACAGAGTGTCTTTGGAGTCCAAAACCTTCCAAATGTCCCAAAAGAGCTTGTGTAGATGAAAACACTCCTACCACCACTGGTGGCAACATAAAAATCCTAGGAAAGGCCACAGCCAGTCCTTTCCTTCTATGGAGCATGTTAAATATAAGGCAGGAATATGGAAAAGTAACCTGAGCCCTTCTGGACTTTACACCTCTTACTCATACATGGGAAAGCAGTAAAAGGTGTTGATTTAACTGCATTATCTTATGAGACTGAATTTCCCATACCCGAGGCTTAAACACTTACTGTGTTTGTAAAACACTGTTTCTGCCCATAGATACTTCTTGGCACTTCTTTACTGAGGAGAGGTCGTGGAATGTATTGTTGATTTCTTGGATCTGTGACAATCAAGATAGTAGTCTTATCCAGATCTAAGCTCCTTCTGGTCTTCTGCAGACCATGGGAAAGAAATATCAGATTATTTGAAATATTTTTGTAGAATTTTCAGTAGTTTGAGCCCCTAATATGCAAAATGATGTGTGAACTTTCAGGGGCTTCAGCTGGAATTTGAACTATTCCTTTCTGAAAGAGAATTACAGCTCATCTGCTACCCTGGGAAATCTCTGGAGTGACGGACTCTGCAGCTATGCCGTGGTGTTCACAGTGGCGTAGCTGGCACATGAAAACAGAACAGTTACAGAATTAGAAGATTTTCATTACGCTGTAAAAAACTGTGGGAGAATGTACTTTCCTCCCCTCTTGTTACAATTCAAGGAAAAAAATATCTGAAGGAATTGTAACCGCTAGGAAGTGTAAACAGCTGCAGAACTAGAGCTCTGGGGGTTGAGGAGGATGACTAGGGAAGATATTCAGGGGAAAATTATGCTCATAGTGCAGGATTTTGCCCACCTCAGCCTCCACTTCATCTCCGTGATGAAGTTACAGATAGTTACAGGTGCTAGAATGCCGATAGTGACTGATACAAGAAACGGCAGTTTATTGCCTGTTTTCACTCTGCGTGTTGCAAAGGTTGCTCTTACATAAATACACATTAGCTTATCGCTACAGGACGAAAAAGAAAGAGCGAGCCGTGCCTTCCTTTCGTTTCGGTGTTGTGTAGATGTGACTTTGCTCCTTCGAGAGGCCCTAAGCGTCTGCGCCGTTTCTGTCTCCGGTAGCTCTGAGCAGAGATTATCCTAAAGGGCAGTTTTCCTCTCCGGAATGCTGTGCTGTCCAGGAGCACGTGAAGGTGCCGTGCTGCCAGCCCCGTAAATCGCACTCCTCCTGACGCAGCGCGACTAAAGAGGAGTGACCCTCGGCTCTGCGCCAGAGAAGCACCCTGTAACAGCGTGTTCTCCACAGCTATTCCCTGCTTTGCTTGTTCATGGAAAACACTAGGATGGGTAATTGAAGACATGTGTTTCTACGAGCTTGGCTGAAGCCACCAACGCAGTTCACATAAGCCAAATATTAATTAAATTATAATTTTTGGCTGCTCCCGCACAGACCTAAGCTTGAACCAGCATTGTAGATGGAAAAGCCCTGTACATCCCTTGATGAGCAAAACCAACTCTTTTGCCTCTATCAAAGCAATCCTCAAGGAGCATCCCTGTCCTGGGGTCCGGTTCCTTCCCCAGCGGGGAGCTGCACTGTTGATGTACCGTCATCCCGTTTATTTCTGGAGCCACGCACTGACCTCTCGTGGCAGTGTGGGTATCCCTTTCCTTTAATGCTCTGCCATGTCGTAAAACAAATCTTTCCAGCACTTTAAACCAAAATTATTTTCCTGTTCTCTGTATCTTTTTAAAGGAGAAAATTGACTTTTAATGTATCTAGGAGATGAAAACAATTAGGTTGAGATGCAGCAAATACCAGATGCTTCAAGGGAGGCAAACCTTAATGCCTCAAGTCACCTGGAGAATACTTTATTTGAGGTGGGGCAGCACTGACTTCCTGAATTCCTCACCACAAGGCTCGCTCAGCCTCACTGTGCATGGCTACAGAAGTCATTGCTTGTCTACAAATGTTCAAATGGATTTTAACTCGCTCAGTAGCAAAATCTGTGTATTTGCATATATTTCTTTTCATACAAATTACGTCCTTTTTTTCATGTGCCCATTTTATAAACCAACGCTTGCTGGAGTAGCAGCTGCTCACCGGGTTACAGCTGCGTTCCTGTAGCAAAACTCATGTTATTGTTATCAGTCAAACTGCTCCTCCGTCTGCCTCACACCTGTCCATTTACATGCTAGCACTTGCAAAGAATTACAGTACTTCGAACTCTTCAGCCAAAATGTCAACCTGCACTGTTGGCAAACAGAATCACACATTAAGATGATTTCTGTTTACTTGACCTAAATCTCACTTTCATCACAAAATACTTAAGATTGTTAAAATTATGTAGCTGCTTGACTGCTTATTACACCTTGTAATAAAGATGCAGTTCACACAGGCAGTTGCATGGAAACTGAAAGAGTCCAAGGAAATTACTTTTATCTAGAAAATCAAGAAGTTTGTATGACAAGATGGAAATCACACATCCCACACAGCAAAAGGCTCTGTTGTTTATCTGCAGGTTCTGTTCTCACCTCTGAGCCACAGCATCAACCACGACCCTCCAAACCCTACCATTTCCAGGTACTGGACTCTGATAAATACAGCAGTAAACATTTCTGGTCTTCACCAGTGTCTCCTCGCACAGTCCTAGTCTGCCTTTTTGCACAGGAGGGGAGGTACGTGACCTGGATGGCAGTGAGAACCTCGTAGAGATTATTCCCTTGGACATGCTTTTGCGGGCTAGTGAGTTCCTGTTCCACTGCGTGTGCGGTGTGAAGGAGTATAGAGGCTTCATATTTTTCCTCTGATTTTGCACAAGCCAGGAGGAACCCTTTAATCAAAATTATTACAGGATAGCTCAGACCCTCCCATGCTGTGAGGAGTTGTTGGAAGATAAACATTTCAGCCAGTTAGGTCTTGAAACTAGACTGCACTAGATTATGTTTAATTTTACCTGCTGTTTGTCATAGATGAGTCATATTTAGAGTTCATAACTCAAAAAATTACTGCCTTTTGCTTTTGAATGCGTTCACATATAATGATTTCATTAAAAAATGAGTACCTAGTCTGTCCTTTTCTATT